GCTCCCTATGGGCGGTCCCCGCCGCCGATTCTCGCAGACCTGCCCTGCCGCCCGGGGGGCCCCGACCCCCCGCCTTACTCTCCGGGCCCGCCGCAGTAGCAATAGCATTGCTGCTGGTTGGTGCGGTGGGGCGAGTCCCACTCGAGCTCTTCGGGCTGGTAGGACAGCACCATCTTCACGGCCTGCAGCGTCCTGGCGATGGCGCCCTTCTTCAGCGCGCCGCCTTTCTGGGGGGAGACGAGGGCCCCAGTCAACCACCAGGTCCGGGTGGACCACGCGAGTCAGCACAAGGCTGTCTATCGAGGGAAGTGCTGCCAGGGTTTGGGGGACCCGCAGATATTCCAATGTAGTCAGAAAAGCAAGAAGCTTTTTCTCATTAATTCCAAACCCATCCCCTCTATCCCAGAAGGAACTCCGTTGATAACAGAATTAAGAGTAATAAGCGCAATAAAGGCAACAATTACCAACATGTATTTACATGGATTTTCTTTTTTAATAGTAAAGTATCATTTATTGGTCCTGTTATTCCCGACACCAAACCCATCTCCACTTTACAGTTGAGGAAACTGAGGCTCAGGGAGTCTACAAATCCTGGCCAAGGACAGTGGCAGAGGTGCTATCTGTCTCCAAAGCCCAGGTATGGCCCTTCTGCTTGGAGCTCAGGCTCTGTGATTGGAGTCTCTGGGCTGCCCCACTGGAGGAGGCAGGAGAGGCAGGGACTGGGGAGGATGAAAGGCTCACCCGCACAGCCAGTGCGAAGATGCAGCGTCGGCAGAACCAAGGTGTGAGCAGGGGCTGGTCAGCACTGCCCGCTATGGGGATGTGGCACTGCTGGTGGTAACCTACGGCAGAGGAGGGGGCAGTGAGCGCCCACAGGGACGCCGTGGCGCAAGGCCAGTTGGCCCAAAGGAGACAGGACTGGGAAGGCTGAGGGAAGTCCTAGGAGCTCTGCCTGCCAGCTGCCGGGAGCCTGGCTGCTGATGCCCACCAAGGTGGCCAAGTCAGTGTCCAGGCTGGGAATTAAATGACAGCATTGGCCAGCTGGGGTGGGGAGGGGGGGCACAGGAAGGTCTGACTTCAGTGCCTGAGCCCCATCTTTCCCACCCATCCTCTCTGTTTAGCAGGGCCCCAAATTACATACACCATCATACCCTCCCAGCTTTCCCCAGGATCTCCTCCCGAGCCCTCACTCACAGCAACTGGCCCCCTTTCACCCTGGAGTGCCAAGAGAAACAGGAAGCCAGCAGAGGCCCCAACAGGCTGGAGCAGTACCCATCAGGGGCCAGTGTGTGGAGACCCATAGGTTGGGGCCTTCTCAGGGCCCTGCTCTCTCCACTCACCCAGGCCACACTTCCCGCAGATGAGGATCTCATTCAGCGGCCCTGATGTCTTCCCCAGGCAGATGTTGCACTTGGGCTCCTCTCCTGGAACGCCGGCTGAAAGAGAGGCCCTCGAGGGTCAGATCCAGCTCACAGGAATGAGAAGTTTTATACTCACTCTCCAGATGCCCAGCCTCTACTGTCTGCTAGGCCTAGCACTAGGCCCCACATGCCGCCTCACTGAATCTCCCCAACCACTCTGAGATGCCTATCATCATTACCATTCTAAAGATGGGGAAATTGAGGCTTTGAGAGGTTAAGTCCCTTGCTTAGCTAGTAAGGAGAGGGTGGGATTAAACCCATGGCTATTTGACATCTAACCCTTTGTTCTTTTGACCACATCATGCTGCCTCTCCCGCCTTATTTAACTTGTTTTGTTAAATTGTCGTTAAATAATTTTTTAAAACTTTATTATGGGATAATATACCTTTTTTGTTTGTTTTGTTCAGATGGAGTCTCACTTTGTAACCCAGGCTGGAGCGCAGTGGCATGATCTTGTCTCACTGCAACTTCCGCCTTCCTGGTTCAAGCAATTCTCCTGCCTCAGCCTCCTGAGTAGCTGGGATTGCAGGTGCATGCCACCACGCCTAGCTACTTTTTATATTTTTAGTAGAGATGGGGTTTCACCATGTTGGCCAGGATGGTCTCGAACTCCTGACCTCAAGTGATCCGCCTGCCTTGGCCTCTCAAAGTTCTGGGATTACACACGTGAGCCACTGTGCCTGGCCTAGAAGTTATAATGAAACTCCATCTTTTCATCACTTACGAACTCATGGCCAATCTCATTTCTACTATATTCCCACCTACTTCTCCTTCCTGTAATTATTTTAAATTGAGTCCCAGATACCCAATAGATTTTCCATAAATATTTCAGTATGTATTTCTGAAAGATCAAGACTCTTTTTAAAAAACATAATTACAACACCTTTACTGCACGTAAAAGTTAACATAATTGCTTAATATCATTAACAAATTCAGTTAATTTCTCATTTCCAATTGTCTCTTAAGTACAAATGCCTTAATACTTTTAAGTCTGTTCTTCTGAATCAAGGTCCCCAAGTAAAGTCCATACATGGTGACTGGCTGATGTTTTTAAAATTACTTTTAATCTATAGGTCCCCTCTCCATCTCTTCCTTTGCATTTTATTTTGGTTGAAGAATAAATATGTTTTTATGTGTGAAAGGTTTGTACCTATACCTTAAACACATTTTGATATGTGTTTCTGTCTTCTTTCTCCAGCACGCTGAAAGTTTTGTAAGGGTAGAAATGGTATCTCTTCAGCCGGGCACAGTGGCTCACGCCTGTAATCCCAGCAGTTTGGGAGGCCGGGGTGGGCGGATCATGAGGTCATGAGTTCAAGACCAGCCTGCCCAATATGGTGACACCCCGTATCTACTAAAAATACAAAAATTAGCCAGGCATGGTGGTGTGTGGCTGTAGTCCCAGCTACTCGGGAGGCTGAGGCAGAAGAATCGCTTGAACCCGGGAGGCTGAGGTTGCAGT